ATTCTTTCTCGTTCTCCTCTCGTGTGTTTATTGCGTAGTTTTGAGATTAGAATGCAGCGACAATTCGTAGAAAAATTGTCGAACACGTACTCACGACAAATCGCAAAACGCGGAATGCCGTCATTACCCTAAACTCTTCCAGAATGTGTGTCTTTCAATCTTTTGCATGCCTCCACCACTAGTTATGCTAGTCTGAGAAGGTATCGTATGTCATTTTCCACCTGAATTTATGCACGATCTTTCGCGACTGAAATTTTTTTAAATTTTTTTCTACTTTACTTACTTTACTTACTTACTTACTTACTTACTTACTTACTTACTTACTTACTATACTTAACTTACTAGTTAGTTTTTCTACTTTAATAATGCACGCGTGAGCAAGTAAAACAGTCCTCAAAAAAATTCTCCGTAATCTTTTGCTAGTGATTTCGCGATCGTTGCCGCACGATCTGTTAAATAGACCGCGCGACGCGCAGCGATCGTCTGCTTGCTACATCGTAGCGCCCCCTGTCCTTTGCAGCCGACTCGATGACGACAAGGGCCGGATCCACGAGCTCGGACAGAGCACGGTGAAGATCATGCGTGGCGCCCTCTTCTGCTGGATGAGGCAGGCCGACAAGGTGGGCGTCCGGGGGAGGGGGAGGCGGTGGGGAGGGGCGGCATCCATGGGTGGGGCGGGGAGGTTGGTCGACTGCGCTCCTCTTGTGATTTGGAAGACGTGATTGGACGCGCTGTGGCCGTGGCCGCGCTACCGATAGACGAGAAATCTTCGCGTTCCCCTGTGGTAAAAAGGAACGCGTTTCTGCCCTTTCTGAAACCGAAATCCTCATCACGCGCGTGTGTACCGTTGAGGGACAATGAACGAAAAAATTACGCAAAAAATTAGTTCTGATTTCGTCCCGCAGGTGGAGCAGTTCAAGCAGAACCAGGGCCCTCACAACGCGCTGCACTCCAAGTTCCACTACAAGACCGGAGATCCGATCGTGGGAACCGAATCATACGGCCACTTGCAGGTATGAAGCAGGTTCACCCTCGAATCATACGGCCACTTGCAGGTATGAAGCAGGTTCACCCTCGTGTTGTGTGAGTTGCGTGATAACTGGAGTCGGACAACACCGAGCTCTCTGCATCAGACATGTCTTGATCACAGATCTGCAAGTTTGTTGATGTGTGAGCCAAACAGACGATCATTGATTGAGATTTGGCAGCGTGAGAGAGAGAGAGAGTGAGAGAGAGAGAGAGAGAGAGAGAGAGAGAGAGAGAGAGATAGAGAGAAAGAGATAGAGGGAGGGCAAGAGAGAGAGAGAGAGGACAAGCATGAGAATGAGAGCTAGAGCAAGAGGGAGGGAGAGGGGAACGTGTTGTGTGTTTCGAGCAAGTGCTGTCACTCGTCGGAGTCTACAGTGAGTTATCGTTTCTCTTCGCAGATTGACGTCGTCGCGCTGTACCTGATTACACTCGTCCAGATGATCTCCTCTGGACTCCAGGTATGGCTTCAGGCTTCCTCCAGGAAATCCTGGATAATCCTGTATAAAAACTGTAACAATGCAATTTTCCAGGTCTGGAAGGTGCCGAAAAATTGCCTGTCATACTAGAAAGTCCTGAAAGCCCTTTACGTTGAAATTTTCCACGTCTGGAAAGTCTCAGGAAATGGGCTGTGATCCTAGAAATAGATGTAGACATAGAATGAAAGAACCTGTTGCCAGTGGATGAATTACTCGGATTTAATTGCCGACGATTACCGATGATTGATGATGATGAAAATAATTAATAATAAACGATGTTAACGTTAATCAAGAGTTTTTGTTTCGTTATCAGATCATCTACACGACGGACGAGGCAAACTTCATCCAGAACCTGGTTTACTACATCGAGCGCGCGTACCGCACTCCGGACTACGGAATGTGGGAACGCGGCAGCCGCTACCACAACGGCCAGTGCGAGCTTCACGCCAGGTGCGCGCCCTACTTTCCTTCGCCACAGCAACTCCCCCTAGAGCACACGTCGCTCGGAATCTGCGCCGAAAATTCTCGAAAAATTCGGCAAACTTGGCGAGAAGCCGCGATAAAAAAAAGAAGCATTCAGTCCGCGTTTTTGCCTGTTTATATGGGTTTCGAGTTCATTATTCGCTCGCTTCTGGTTCGCGAATCCGTGACAACGTCGTCCGATTGTGACAACGGGCGTACCTTGCGAATTCCGAGGGCCGACGTTCTCTTGTTTGTGGGCTGCAGTTCGATCGGCATGACGAAGGCCGCGCTGGAAGCGATCAATGGGTTCAACGTGTTCGGAACGTACGGAACGTCGTCGTCAGTGATCTATGTCGACATCGACGCCTACAACCGCAACCGCACCATCTTCGAAACGATGCTGCCGAGAGAGTCGTCGTCCAAGGTGAGGCGAGAGAGATAGAGAGATAGATAGATAGAGAGGGTGCTAGAGAGGGAGAGTGCGAGAGAGAGAGAGAGAGAGAGAGAGAGAGAGAGAGAGAGAGAGAGAGAGA